ATCTTTCCGGCCTTATTTTATGTTAATCTTCTTTGTGAACATTAAGCCCTGGGTGAACCAGACTAGTCCCTCTTCTTTGCTCTCGTCCTGCCATTTCCCTCCTTGGCACAGGTTTTGCACTCCAATCCCCATGCCTGGCACAGATTTCCCTGTACATGTTCTTCTTTAAGGAGCTATTTAGGTGCTGCCTTTTTCCTTGGTCTCTGCATCTAGCAGTGATTCCTCTGTCCTCATATCTTTCAGGCCACTCTGCTTGACCTCTTGTGTATTTAATTATCATTTGTTGTAGTTGCATTAGCTTTTGTGTGTGTGTATATTGCAACCCTTCCACCCTCTGCACAAATTCACACACACACAGACAAAATCATAAATTCCTTGAGGACAGGACCCGTGGTGTTGTTCACTTTCATATCCCCATACCCAGCACATAGAAGATGCCCTATAAATGTTTGTTGAACAAATGTTTGTTTAACTGAATTATTGCTGAAGGGATGATTGTCAAACTTGCAAAAATCAACATGGTCAAACCTCATGACAGTGAGACCTGTATCATAGTAATGGAGGGATATTTGTGGTATAGAAAAGGCTTTGGAGTAAAAATACCCAGCTTCAGGTCTCAGGTTACTTGCTTTGCTATGCAATGCTGGGTAAATCACTTCAAGTCTGTAGACCTCAATTTCTCCATTTATAAAATGAGAGGATTAGATTAGATTATCTCCAAGGTGCCTTACCTATTAGTATTTTCTTCTATTTTCTATAATTTAAGTAAGGAGTCCATCATCTTGGAAATATTTTTTCTCAAAGGAAAATTTCTATTGCCATGATTTTGTCATAATAATGTAGCAGCCACTGGCCAACACTTCTGGACTTTGTGGGAATTAACCAAACCATCTGGTCTTAAGACCACAAGATCATATGTTTAGAATCAAAAGAAAACTCAGAGGAGGCCAGCTAGGCCAATGCCTTCATTTTGCAGATCAGGAAACTGAGGCTCAGAATGGTTCAGTGACTTGACCAATGCAATATAGATAAGCAATGTTAGGTGTTATATTTGAACTCAGGTTCTCTGATTCCAGAGCCATTACTTTTTTCCATAGTACCCTGCTACTTATCAGCTCTATCAGGTTTTCAAGTCAACTTATTTCCTGTTTTCTTTTAGATCTGTTGCTGTGTATGGTGCCAGTTTCCAGATCAGTTTAGGGGTGTGTGTGTGTGTGTGTGTGTGTGTGTGTGTGTGTGTGTGTGAAACAATAATCACTCACCTTGTTTGCCTCATATACAAGTTGCTCCCATTCGTCCCTTCAAACCGTTCCTTACTGAGTCATTTCTCCCACCGTCATTACTTTAGCAAAGCATTTAATCAAAATGGTAAGAAATCCTGACCTGATGATATCAAAATAATAGCTTCAGTATCAAAGACTGAGATCTTCATTCAATCCCTGTTTCAGTTCCTCAAACAGTAAAAGCAAGCCCCCATTCATGTTGGCCACAGTTTTCTCATCCCACAGGCCTTCTGGGTCATAGGTTGACAGAAATAAAGATTTGTTCAGAAACATTCTGGTTCCCAGTAAAACTGAGTTTAGATATGTGTAGGTAACTCACTGCTTGTTTGGGGAGCACCTTAGAAACTTGGGGTCCCTCTCCTTGTTACAAGAAAAAAAGGAATCAAAGAATGCAAAGTAAGGTTTAAGGCTTCCTTGCTTCCCAGGTTATGAAACTCCACTGGATCTTAGCGTTATCTCCACCACTGTGCCTCTAAGACCTGAAGTAAGGGGCAGGGAAAATGCTCTCACGCTACCCCCACATAGTGTATTATATATGCTAAGTGGCAATGAGGATAGAGTGCTGGTCCTAGAGTCAGGAAGACCTGAGTTCAAATGTGACCTCAAACACTTCTTAGCTGACCCTGGGCAAGTCACTTAACCTCTGTTTGCCTTAATCCACTGGAGAAGGAAATGGCAAACCACTTCAGTATCTTTGCCAAGAAAATCTCATGTACGGTATTGTCATGGGGTTGTGGAGAGTTGGATACGACTGAATAATCACTTTACAATTATTATTTCATTTGATTCTCACAATGACCCTTGGAGGTAGGTGCTATTATTTTCCCTAATTTACAGATGAAGAAATGAAGTAAACAGAGATTGAGTGACTTGCCCAGGGTCACAAAGCTCATAAGTGTCTAAGGCCAGATTTGAACCCAGGTTGTCCCAGCGCTCTATTCCCTGAGCCACCTAGTTGCCCCATAACCTGAGTTCAGACTCTGTTTGCTTCAGTTTCCTCATCTATAAAACATCTGTAAAAATGGGGAAAATACCAGTGCTTACCTCCCAGGGACATTGTGAGAACAAATGAGATAATAAAATTGTAAAGCACACTCGTTAAGAAGGGCAGCAAGGTAGCACAGTGCTGGGCCTGGGGTCAGGGAGATCTGAGCTCAAATCTGGCCTCAGACATTTACTAGCTGTGCCACCCTGGGCAAGTCACTTAACCTTGTTTGCCTCAGTTTCTTCATCTGTAAAATGAATTGGAGGAGAAGGCAAATCACTTTAGTATCTTTGCCAAGAAAACCCTGATCTTGAAGAGGTGGGCTTGAGTCAGACACAATTGAAATGACAGCAACAGCAACATACTGTATAAATGCTATACCAACATCAGTATCCACGGTAGCAGAAGGACTGGCATGGTCTTGTGCATCACTGAGCCTCTTTTCTTTGACACTCGAAATTTGTGCTACCCTATGTCTGTTGTTGCCGACATCATTATCATTGGATCGTTAGAGCTGAAAGGGGCCTCACAGAAGGTCTAGTTCAGCCCTTTGATTTTTAGATCAGGAAAACTGAGACCCAAAGAATTTTAATGATTTGCCCAAAGCCAGTAAAATCAGAACTTGAATTCAGGTCCTCTGACTCCAAAATTAGGACTCCTTCCATCTCACTATCATTTGCATTGGACAGACAAATGGTGCTGTGCCTAGGCGAGAATCTCAACATAACGTCAAGGAGCCTAGAATGCCTGATTCACTGGGAATGAAGCCGTTCTTGTCACCCTAATATCCTAAAAGCATTATTTAAAGAGAAGAAAACACCAATAAATAAAATGTTTTACAGTTATCCCTTCTACATCACTGGGGTTAGGGGTGCAGTGCTCCTGCAACCTAGAAAATTCATGTAAAATTTTTTGGTTCTCCCTTCATACTAGAGAAGAAGTCTGATTTCTTTTTTCTTTTTCTTTTATGTGTTATTTACAGGGCCTCATTGTAAAATTTGGGGTAAATATTTGGTCATAGGCTCTGTGTGGTCTGTTGCCTTCATGTGTCATCTGTGGCTTCCACAAAACTCCCTAAAAATTGCCATTTAAGTTCTTATGCCAATCCGAGAAATATGGAAATGATGGGGAAAGTCGCTCTATGGAAGGGACAACTGTAAGCTCCTTCAGAAAGGATAAAACTAACAATTGGGAGTAGGATGAGAGACACATACACACAATAAATTAAAGATTAAAATTGTAGCATCTCTTCTATCCTTTCATAGACAATATTCCTACTTCTCACTCCTCTGGTTCCCTGTAATTTTTGTTGTTTCTATTTTATATTTTGTCACTTTATCATTTACAACTTTGACTTGTTTACTAATTCTGTGTGTGTGTGTGTGTGTGTGTGTGTGTGTGTGTGTGTGTAGTAAGTGTCATCACAGCTGGATGATAAACTCATCTGGGTTAGGGACTTACACTTTGTATTTCCTACACAGCCTAGGAGTTCTGGTAATGCTCTCTCCCTTCTGACCTCAGCCTCTTAGATCCCCTGGCTTCTTTAAAGACTCAGCTCAGATCCCACCTTTTGTAATGAGGCCTGTCCTGCTTGTCCAGCTGCTAAGGCCTTCCTTTTTCAGATTACTTTCATATACTTCTGATATAGCCTGTATGTGTCCTAGATACATATATGCTGTCTCTCTGATTAGAATGTATGAGAGCAGGAACTGTTTTCATTTTGTAAAACTTTTCTTTGTATCCTTAGCACTTAGCTGAGTGCCTGATGCATACACACATGTATATATGTATGTGTACATGTATGTGAGTGTGTATGTAAAAATGTGTGTGTATGTGTGTGTATATCTGTGTACACATGAATGCATGCACACATATAAATATACACACAGTACATGCACACATATTATATATGTGCATAAGTATACAAACACACATATATATACTATGCATATATCTCCATCTATCCAACTATCCATAGATACATGCTTTTGTTGTTTTTATTGCTGGATAAATAATAGGTGTGTAAGCAGGCATTCAATATACCTTCACTGACTTTAATCACTCTGAGTTAGATGCTTTCCCCAGTGCCAAAATCACTGCCTAGTAAGGCAATCAGGGAACTGAGTCAGTCCCTTCAGGTCACAAAGCTGCTGTTATGGGCACCTCCCCAAGTGCCTCCCCAGCTACCAGTGAGGGGCCACCAAGGAGAAGTAGTTTCCAAGGCCTGCCCTCTGTGGCTCTTGGCTCAATGTATTGAGCTGAGCACACCGCTCACAGTAAGAACACAGAACACAGCTCTTTCCCAGCCTTCCAGAATCCTCCTTATACCACAAATTCTTCTCCTTTCTATGGCAATTTGAACATGATATTGATACATACACACACACACACACACACACACACACACACGATATGGCCAAATTATCTATTCCATTAAGCTCTCTTTGTGAGCTGACTCTTTATACCATTTGCTATTTAGCTTGTCTATTAAACTAAATATTGTGTACATTATTATCTCCTAAAGTACTTTACACAATTGGTTTTAGTAAAGCAAGGTCAGGGCCCACTAAGCTGGAAGCTACCTCCCCTGGGACTGCCTTTTCACCAGAAACACAAAATAACTCCTTCCTCCTATTCCTACATCATTCCCAGAGGAATAGGATTTTAAGTCAGTAAGGAATATATTAATTAAAGGCAAACGAAAATGTCCTCATTTGTTGCAATGAATTTAGCTCTTACAGGCCATTTTCTACGGGGTCGCCTGCTTGGACGACTTGTTGAAAAGAATGAGGAGAAATAAAGACATTAAGTGGGTAACTGCCTCCAGAGACCTTCTCTTCACAACGTTGGCTTTTCCTGCGTCTGCAGTAAGTTCTAAGTGTAAATATGAGGCAGGGTTCAAATCCAGATGTTTCTGACATTTAATCCAAGACAATGGATATAGACATATGTAGATATATTATCATTTGTATGTGTACATTATACATATATTAATAGTCATATATTAATATTTATATCTGCATCTATATGTACAGAACACATGCATACTATATGTGTAGATATGCATGCATCTAGGGACTACAGGGATTACAGTCCTTGACTCTCTTTTTTTTTTTCAGCCAAAGATAAGGTTCATTAAAACACAGGTAGAGAGAGGGCATAGCTCTAACAATCAGCCATATTGGCCAGACTCTTAAGGAATCTGAACATTTTTTTCTCTCTTTTTTATTAATTTATTTTTAGTTTTCAATAATCACTTCCATAGGCTTTTGAGTTTTAAATTTTCCCCCTCCCTCTCCCCACCCTCCCCAAGATGATGTGTGATCTGATATAGGCTCTATATATACATTCCTATTAAACATATTTTCACATTATTGACTCCCTATTTTGACTCCCCATTTTCCTATTGCATGAGGCTGCCTCAGTAACAAGGTTTTTGAGAACCCTTTTATTCAGAAACCAGAATCACCTCGTTTAAATAAATGGAAAAGACTACAGAGGACCCAAGCATGGAAGGGGTTATTTCCCTGAATAATAAGCAGGTGGTCACTTGTCCTGCATAATTTTCATTCTTTTGAATCAGATTCTGAAGCCTATGCCTATAACACCTGTGTAGGACTCCCTTGTGTCAAAGGGAGTGTCTGCTGGGGCAATCAGTCCAGAAGATAAAGATGATTTATTTTTCAGGAAAAGTAGCTGAGGCTTCTATGGCAAGAACTGCAAAGCTCTTCAGAAAGATTGGCTGATTATAGCTTCACAACAACCCTGCAGAAGAGATGCTTTTATTATCCTCATGTTAAAGATGAGGAAACTGAGGCTGGGAGATTTAAAGTGAAGTCTCCCACTGAATTCTCCCATCCTCCCAACCCCTATTTAGTCCTTTCTTGTGACAAGGAAAAAAATAAGCAAAAGCATCCAAAAATTTTTTTTTGACAATTTATAAAGTATCCCAAACTAGCATCCCGTTCCCCAAATCTCCTTTTCTTGATTTCACTCATTTTCCTCCCCATTGGTTCATATAAATCTCCCTATGTTTCTTTGAATTCCTTATAGTCGTCATTTCTTACTGCACAATGGTAGTTCATTGTGCTCATTTGGCATTTCTTTGTAGCTATTCCTCAACTAATGGGATCCCACTTTGTTTCTGGAGGGCTTTTTTTTTGGTTGTTTTTTTTTTCTTTTCTACCACAGAGAGTAAATATTTTGTTATGAGACCTCTGTGTGAGGCAGCAAGGAAAAGAAGAAAGAGCTTTGGTTTTGGAATTGGAAGACTTAAATAAGTTGCTCCTCTGATGTTTGCTACCAGTGTGACCTTGGGCAAATCACTTTTCCTCTGTGGGCCTCTTAAGTTTCTGTCTTTGACTTTGACCTTTTTTTTCTAACAAAGCACTAACCATAGCTTTGAACCTCACTGCTGTAAGACTTTAGTCACAGCAACTCCACAAACACTTTCCTACCAAAATCAAGCAGAAAATGAAAGCCCAGAATTTCCCAGTCTCAGTTCCCAGCTATTTTGCCCAGATAAAAACGGTGTAACCCCACTGGGACCAGAAATAGAGTCTTGGAGACACTAAAGCTCCCAAAGGATCTCCCAGGCTAGCCCAGACAAGAGAATCCGTGCTTGGTTTCTACAAGAGTGGATGTTTTTGTTTACTCCATCAATATGTATGGCATGATGGGGAAAAAAAGCATTGGACTGGGAATCAGATAGATTAAGGTTCCATTCCTTGCTTTGTCCCTAACTAACTGTATGACCTTTAGTGAGGCTCAGTTTCTCAGAGCCTTGGTTTCTTCATTGCTAAATCAAAGGGTGGAATTATATGATCTTTAAGGTCCTCCCAGCTCAAAAATGCTCTATTTCATAACAGATCTTCCAGTAAAATGCAAGCTACTATTGCTTTTTTCTTCATATCTCTTGTACCTAGCTAGTTTTTTTTGAGGTACTGAGAAATTGTGACTTTACTGGGTTCACAGAGGCAGTTAGGCATTTATCAGAGGGGAAACTTCAATTGGGGTCTTTCTATATCTCTATCCATTAATTACACTATGCTTCTTGCTAGGTCATAATAGGCAGCTGACATATATGTGTGTATTCATATATTAATGGAAATAATAATGACATCAAACACATTCATTAATATATTGTGCATAATAATATATTAAATTCATTCAGTATTATATTATTATATTCATTAATAAATGAATATGTATTTATTTGAATACAATTGAAGAGACCTCCCTGTGAAAAACATGGGAATGGGAATTATAAGAAGATACAAAGAGATTCAGAGCTGGAATCTCTGATTCACAGGTCATCTAGTCCAAACCTCTCTACCCTACCCCCCATTTTATGGAAGAGTAGTTGAAGCCCAGTTACATTAAATGATTTGCCCACGGTCATATAGGTAGTAAAAGGCAGAGCTGGTTTATTAACCAAGATCCTCTGATTCCAAATTCAGCCACCTTTCCAGTACACCATGCTGGAAGTACATATCATACCTCAAGTTCTACCCACCCCCAAACTACCAAAAGCCTGCAGACTAAAAAGAAGAGGCAGGACAAGTGAAAAGAGCAAACACAAACATTCACACATACAACAACAGTGAACATGCCTAGAGGGATTAAAGCTGACAGCAATTCTTCAAAGAATTGATTGGTCTCATCTGATAAAATACCGAGGAAGTGATGAGTTTTGAAAAGCCCATGGTCTGTCTTGGAAAACTCTTTTTGGGGGAGGAGTGGGGCTGGAGGTAGGGGAGTGTCATTGTAGAAAATAGAGTATCAGGAGTCCTGGCATCAGGACTGAGTGATCTTCAATTGTGTTGAGGGGATATTCCACAATACTACAGATTTTTTAGCCATATTTCTATTTATGTGTTTATAAAATGCCTATTATGGGCTTGGCATTTAACTGTCTTCCGGGAATATAAAAACCAAACTGAAGTATCACTTAGAACTGGGAGGATGGTATTAGGGAGGTTTAGAGGCAAGGAGGGTTTAGAGGGAAAGATAATGAGTTCAATTTAATCTAATCGCTATTTTTCTTTAGCTATTTCATTTTCATGAATAATCTCAGAATTTTCTGTTTTTTTAAAAAACCATACTAACCAAAGCTTCTATATTTTTCTTCTAGTTTGTGTTTATGTCATTCTGGACAATCTTTCTGTATGACCGAGAGCTGATTTACCCTAAGTCTCTGGATAGAATCTTTCCAAAATGGTGGAATCATGCTATGGTGAGTTCTTCCATGCTATGGAAGGGGGAAAAAAAAAGGAATGAATGCTGAAAGTCAATAATGCATGCACTGAATTTTCCAATGTGACATTATTTATGTTTCCAAGAGGTTGCCTAACTGCTCTTTCCATCATTCCCTTCCACCCTATCCCCTACTCACCCCTCCCTGGCTATTTAAAGATCCTATCCAGTGGTACAAAATGAGTAAGTACTGGTGCTATAATTTCCTAAACAAGCTATTCTTCTAAGAGGATATCAGGGGCATAACTAGTTGCAAAACTGCTTAGGAAGTAATTGAAAAGATGTGTGACCATAAAGGCATGGCAACACAGACAACTACAGTCCTGAAAGAGAAACAGTCTCAGCAAGGAATCCATCATGACATCCCAAATGGTTAGGCATTTAGCTGAGTAATAGCTTTTGTATACAAGAAGCAATTCCCCAACCACACACCCCCAACAAACTGGAAAAAAAAATACAGTGTCTGATAGCTCGGCAGTTTCTAAGCCAGCAGATCTGCAGGACTGCATCTTTTGGTGGAAATAGTAATTCACAAATTTCAAGTGATCAACAATCTTTAATTAAGCACTCATACTATACCTGACATATTGGTAGACCCTGGAGATAGAAAGGCAAAAGATGAAAAATACTGACCTCAAGGAATTGACATTATATCTAGTTGATCATTCTATCAGTAACATATACATACATACCTACACACACACACACACACACACATACACTATACATATATATATGTATATATATGTATATATATATATATGTACACACACACACACACACATACATACACACATATTATATGGAGGTAGCTATTGGTACAATGGATAGAGAGCTGCTCCTGAAATCAGGATCTGGATTCAAATTTGACCTCAGATAATTACTAGCTGTGTGGCCCTGGATGAGTCACTTAATATCTATTTGCCTCAGTTTCTTCAACTACAAAATGGGGATAATAATAACACCTACCTTTCAGGGTGGTTGTGAGGATCAAATGAGATAATATTTATAAAAGCATTTATTGCACTGCTTGGGACATAGTAGATGCTATATAAATGCTCATTCCCTTCTATTCAGAATAAATATTATATAAGTAAATGTATTTTGGAGTGGAAGGGCACTAGCAGCTGGTGGGAGGGACAGAGATAATCAGGAAAATCTTCGCATAGAAGGTGGTGCTTAAATTGTGTTTGCAAGAAGTGAGGGTCTCTAAGATGAGAAGGGATGGCCACATCTCGTACAGTGATTAAATGTATACAAAATGCCTTCCCCTAAATAACTCTGTGAGATTGGTAGGGCAAGTGTTTTCATCCCTATTTTATAGATTAAGTAAAACAATAGTCTAATGAATGGAGTGTTGGGCTTGGAATCAGGAACACTTGGGTTCAAATCTTGCCTCAGACACTTAACATCTGCATGACTCTGAGCAAGCCACTTGACTTCTCTTGACCTCAGTTTTCCGTATGTAAACTGAGGGCTTTGTACTTCATGATCTCCAAAATTGCTGCTAAAAAAACCCAAGTGGTCTGATTCCAGTCTGATGCTTATTTATATCATGTTGTCTAACTGAGAATTAAATAAGGACGGTCTTGTCCTTTATGTACCCTTACCCTCTTAATGAATGAAATAGTTATCATAATTGTTAATCTCTCTCAATTATAGAGTAAAGATGAGTCATTAAAGCAATAAGTATTTATTAAGCATGTATAGTTTGCCAGTCACTATGATAGGCATTGCTGATATGAAGAAAGGTAAAACCAGTCCCTACTTTGGAGGAACTTACAATTTCATGGGGGTGACAACATGTAAACAGCTATGTATATATATAAAGGATAAAATGGGGGTAGTCTGTGAGGGAAGGTGCTAAGATCAAGGAAGAATGGGAAAGGCTCTTTGCAGAAGGTGGGATTTTAGCTCAGACTTGAAAAATTTGGTAAACAAAGACCTCTTTTGTTGGTTCTATCAAGGACTCAGAATGCTTAGACTACCTATCTCACAAGATTGTCATAAGGATACAACATGGTAATGTATTTAGAGTGCATTGTAAATGTAACAGTGTCTAAAAGCCAGCTAATGCAAACTCTTATGTACAGACTGAAATTCAAAGCAGCTTATAGAGTGAGGTGGGAAGAGTGGGTAAGGACAAGGGAGAGGGGATAAAGTTATAGACTGTGACAGATCTGGGCATCTGAATCACTGGAGCCCAAATGCTAACTCATCATTAAAAGTCTTATCTCAGCTTCTCAGTGCTTGTAAATGGATTTCTGTATCTAGCTGTCATTTATAAAGAGGACTCAAATTCTGAGATGCTAAGGACATCAAGGAACTTGTAATACGCAAAAGCAAATAGGAAATCTGGATTCCCCAGAATATCTTTCATTTTCTTATGAGCTATATGATTTTTTTTTGGTTTTGGTACTATAAAAAAGACACTTATACTGCTATATTTCAATTTATCATTATGTAAACCTCAGATAACTATATAAATCCAATATTATTATTAATCTTCGGAATCTTCCTCTTATTTGGATATACTGCTTTACATAAGCACCTTCATATATAGTAGCTCAACTAATCCTAAAAATTACTCCATGAGATAGTATGGATAATTATTACTACCCTCATTTTTCAGTTAGGGAAATCAAAGATCAGAAATGTCAAGGTCACGTGCAAATGTTGCCTCCTCTGTGAAGCTCACTCTCATTGCTGCCAGCCTCAAGTTATAAATGATCCATTTCTTTTTCAGATTTCACATATGATTCACCAAATTTTTAATCCAATAAACACTTATTAAACATTTACTATTTATGATATATTAAAGCTGGGTGAAACAGTGGATAGAGCACCAGGCAGTCTGGAAAACTCATCTTTGTGAGTTCATATCTGGCCTCAGACTCTTACTAGCTGTATGACTCTGGGCAAGTCCATTTAACCCTCTTTGCTTCAGTTTCCTCGTCTGTCAGATGAGATGGAGAAGGAAATGGCAAACCACTCCCAGTATCTTTGCCAAGAAAACTCCACATGAGGTCACAAAGAGTCAGATACAATTAAACATGCACAATATGCTGTGAAGAGAATCCTCAGATGGAAAAATGGCATGTTTGTTCTCCTCAAGGAGCTTATAAATCTAATAAAGGGATGAGCTATAGACAAGGAACAAAATGGCAAACCACTCCAATATCTTGGCCAAGAAAACCCCATGGAAAGCATTGGCATGCTATGTCATCTTTGTCACCTTGAACCTATCCTTTAACCTCTCAGAGTTTGACTAGATGGCTTCTTAATTTCTTTCCAGTGCTATATCTATGATTAAATGTTAAAGTAAACATCAGGTAGAGATAGAGAGGGAATCCATGCCAGGGGCCAAGAAGAACCTGCACAAATACTTTGAATTGGGAGAGTATACTATGAAAATGAAGACATGCTAATAGTTCCATTTGAGTGTATGAAGAAGAATCAAGTAAAATAAAGTGGGAAATGTTCAATGGACCCAGATTATAGAGTGTCTTAAATGCCAGAAGAAATTTCTATTTTATCTTCTTGGTAATAGAAAGTCCAAGTGTGTCACTGTTCTTCTACTCAAAAGCCTACTAAGTCTGAATTTAAACTCCTTCATCTGTACTTCAAGGTCCTCCACCACATTTGGGAGGCAAGGGGGGCAATATGGTCTTCTGGAAATTGGGAATGTGGGGCTACATAACAATGCCTCCTTCCATCTTGCTGCTAGGAAATTCTGATTGATTTGGTCCACCTGCAAGATTAACTGATGGTATATAGACAATAAATTTCCTCTAATTATATGAGACAGCTAGTGGTATAAAGATAACAGATAATTAAAGTGATTTGTAGGGAAACAACTTTTAAACTTAGCTTAGAGAGGAAAATTGAAGTTCTGAAGTTCTGAACTTCAGAACTTAATTCAAAGACAAAGAAATATGGCTTAGGCTGTTATTCAAAATGTCAACAGTGATACAGGATAGAATCAATTACAAAGTAGAATTGATTTTAATTTTCTCAATTCTCCCCCTTTAATCAGTGAGAGCCATGTCTCCCATGGATTGCTTATCTATAAGTCAATTCTATAACATTTTTAACATGGTCATTATCAGTAGTGCACACTAACGCAAGGATTTTTGGTGCAAGTTTGGAATAGGCTTTAACACAGCAACTAATGCAAAGTCTAAAAGGATTGTAAGGGAAAGGGCAATAAAGGCCCATTTACCAAGGGTGGCCAACAGGCCATTTACTTGTAGCCAAGCGAATGAAGAAGAGGGATTCTACCAGGCATCACCTGGGGGAGGTAGTTGTGTTTCTGCTATAATTTCTACAGTTCACCTGCTCTGATTATAGAAATTTGCTATGTAAAAGAAAAGGAAGGACATAGTTCACAAAACATAACAAAGGAAAAACTCCCTTAGCTTTATATGATTCTGGGCAAGAGTCATATCTTTCAGCAAAGTTCCACATTTATTCACAGGACATCACAGCAAGGCTCAGGATTAACCAGGTGGGAAACATTCCTGTTCAAAAAGAAAGAAAACAAAGTGGAAACTGCATCAAGAGGACTCTACCTTTGGCTATGTTAAAGTTGTCTCCTCAACTTTTCTCAGACACAGATATCCACCTGTAGCAGTTCTCAGATCACACTTCCTTTGAACAGCTCACAGCATTTCCCTTGAATAGTGGATTACTGACAATGATAATCCAGATATTTGTATCTGAATTCAAAACTCAAAATATTATCAAATTATAATCCAAGGCTTTTATTATTATTATTTTTATTTTTCACCTGACACTGCAAGTTTCACTAATCATAGCTTAGGGTTAGATATAGTTATTATTTCTCTCATGTTATTGCAATACCAGTTAAAAAGTTCACCAAGTTTTTAAAATAATTCGCTCAACATTTTTTCTTTCTTTCTTTTCTTTTCTTTTCTTTTCTTTTCTTTTCTTTTCTTTTCTTTTCTTTTCTTTTCTTTC